TAGCAAGGAGCCAAGCTGTGGAGACGGATCTGGCCCTGCTCTCTTTTTCCATGAACTGACTATGCTAATTCAGGATAATTGATCTCAAAGGCCTCTGAAACCTCGTTTGTAAATTGGGTAAAATGTAAGCGCTCATTTGTATGGATGCTAAAGAGTGATCTTACAAAGCAATGTAAAAAGGCCTAGCCCGGTACCTGGAAGGTGGTAGTTGTGGGGGAGTGGGGGGAAGAAAACAAAAACAAAACCCCCAAAACTCTAGTATCTATTATTACGTTTTCAGAATTTTTTGTTCCATCAATAACAGACATTATGGTGATGGAATTCATCACAGTTTCCTTCAATAAGGTGATTTGGGGCTAATAGATTTTCTGTAGGATGATGGGAGAATGTATTTTGGTCTGTGATGTCTAGAAATGATAGTAGCAATGGAGACAATAGTGAACATTTATTTGGGCTTACTAGGTTAAGCATTATACATGGGTTCCCACTTAATGTAGACCACCCTATAATGTGTACACCTATAATTACCTCTATTTTATAGATTAGACAAATAAAGTGCAAAGAGTAAGGAATGTGCCCAAAGTTACATTACCAATGGGAGGAGAAGCTGAGATTCATTACAAAGGAGCAGGGGTGTTGTAGGAGATTTGCTTGTGTTTTCACTCTGAGACGGCCAATGGAGTTGGGCCTTGGTTCAGAGGGCACAGGCCACATTTAGCTGGCAGGAGTGGACCACAGAGTTCTCTGGGGGACTCAGGGGACATGGACACACAAGAGGAATATGGAGGGCCCAAAGGAGATGGGCAGGCCTTTTGGAGCAGAGAAGGATGGAGATTAGAGTTTGCTGATCATTTTCTCTGTCACTCTGTGAATCTATCAGGTTTTACCTCAAATCTGACTTCTGATCATTTTTTTTATTAATAAACCAATAAAAGAAAAATGTTATATCTGGTACCCAATGTAGGGCTCAAAAATCCAAACATAGGGGCTGAAAAAGCTATGAAAAGTTCTGAACAAGAAGCCAGATATGGATTCCTAGTTCTGCAGTCTCCCAGGCAGGCTGGTGTCAGAGGCACATGAGAGATGCCAGGAGGCACAAAACAAACAAGACACACAGAAAGAGAGGTTACAGCCATGAGCCACGTGGCAGCACATAGATTAATAAAAGTAGGTTAATTAAAGTTCTAAGAGCTAGCTAGGAATAAGCCTAAGCTAAAGGCTGAGCTTTCATAATTGATAAAAAGCCTCTGTGTTGTTATTTGGGAGCTGGCTGGCAGGACAAAAAGAGACCTGTTACATAGGGCTTTGGTTGGAGGCCAGATTTCTTCATCATCAGTCCTGGGGGGGGGGCAACTGAAAAGGCTAGACCACAGACACATCATAAAACTGAAAAGAGCTGAAAGAAAATACCAGGAACCCTTATCTCATGTGCCATCAACTATAACTACCCAATGTTACAATGGCTGTGCATGAGAAAGAAAATGAATAAAATCATTTTCTGTGGAAGCACCAGCTTCTTAAGCAAAACACTATACTGAAAAGGGCTAGAAACAGGCTACGAGGGAGCTGCTTTCATGGAAGGCTCTCTGTTCTTCTAGAACATTAGAAGAGCAGTAACTGACATCAAAGTCATTGCTCAGTCCTTGATTTCTGGCTTTTCTCAGATCACGTTTATGTTGTCTTTCTCTGCAATACCCCCAAACAGGCATAAGTAAACCTATTTTTAAAATAGCACCAGGGTTCTCATAATTCTACATTTGAAGCATGATTCTATGACTTTTACTATGAAACTTAGTAACATGGAGTCTATCAGAGTACAAATTCAGTTTGAATTAATTCAGCAGCATTTGGCTGATTTTGAAAAGGGAAAAGCAAACACATTTGGGTCTCCAACACATAGGGGCATTACTAGTTGTCATCTCATGCCAACTGGTTTGTGATATAGAAACTCACTTTCTGTTTCTAAGATAATCCAGGCCCAGTTTCTCTCTCTCTCTCTCTCTCTCTCTCTCTCTCTCTCTCTCTCTCTCTCTCTCTCTCTCTCTCCTTTGTTTTCTGAGACAAGGTTTCTCTGTGTGCAGCCCGGGACACCATGTATATCACTTTGTAGACCAGGCTGGCCTCGAACTCGCAGAGATCTGCCTGCCTCTGCCTCCCGAGTCCTGGGATTAAAGGCGTGTGGTGCCACCACCGCCTGGCTATTCACCTGCCCTACCGTCATTGTGTACAAGCCTACCCTTTTACTCCTATGCTTTTGTTATAATTCTGGAACACTTATCATCTCCTTGAATCCTCTCAAGTCATCTCTGCTTCAAGTCCCAGTCTAGAGTGGGAAAATCATGTGGCTTGGAGCTAGGGGTCTTGATCGAGCTAGAGGTAACTGCCAAGGATCTGATGGAGAAACGGTACTTTCATCCACCCACCCCCACCTGTCTCCTCTTCTCACCTATAGGGCTGTGATGGAACTTCCTGGTCAGCTCAGTTACTGTAGCAATTGACCCTGTGAATCTAGATAGCACATGAGACACCCAGCATGTTCCTTTGTCCTGGGGATAATTATTCCACCCAGATGGACTCAAACCATCTTCATTTTAAGTCTGGATAAATATAGACACTACTTAAGGTAAGCAAATAGAGGCAACAAACAGAAGACGTCAGTGTTTAACCACAATCAGCCAGCGCTTGGATGGGAGCAGGCAGGTGACATTCAAGGACAGGTGTTCTGGAGGGGATGCTGAAAAGTTTTGGTGATTTAAGTGTTGAGTTCCCGTTTGGCTGTGATTTGGTGTGGATCCCGGAATTAGCTCATTCCTGCATAAGTGTATGTAACTATGTGAGCTAAAAACACAGGTGCCCATCAAAAGCCTAAGAGCTCACGCACCGTTCCAGCACTTCTGCAGATTTAGAAACGGAACTAAAGTTGGGGATAAGTCGAGCAGGTGTATAACTCTATGTAAAGTCTTCCTTAATGCAGAGTTTTTAATGTTAGAGGAAAATTGGGAAAACCGACTTGTCCAATATCTTTGATAAAATAAATGGTTGCTTCATATAATATTTTACAACTCAAAATCATAAGAGTACTCTAAGTGTTCATGACACACTATTATTCAGTGACAAAGCAGGTCATGTGATACATGTAAGATTAGTTCGTTTAAAAAGTGTGGGTCAATAAGTCAGATAGGCTTGTGTGAGTATTTTTGTGCAATTTCTTTAAACATTACAGAAATGTAAAATTTGAAAGCTGCCGGAATGTTAGTTGATGGTGAGACTGTATATTTCACAGCTCATTAATATATCCTGTTTTATTTACAAAGGATATGTGTTGTTATTTGTGTTATTAAAAGGCTCATAATAAACATAGACACTAAAAATAGGCTTATAAGCGATACAGTTTATATAGGCAGAAATGAGAGTTGGGTTTAAGAATTTTTTTTTCTGGTACTTTTGGCTGTTCCAATGGTCAGAGTTAAGCCAGGCAGATGGGAAGCATCATACATACAACATACAGAATGGAAATGTTTAAAAGGGTATAGAGGCTGACGAGGGGGTTGTGTAAGAGACCAAATTGGGGGCATCCTGGCCAACAGGGCTTAGCTTGGAGCTTAGGTTCAGGAATGTGTCCAGGATAGGGCAAGTTACAAAGAAGAGCAGATTTTTTTCTTTCTTTAAAAAAAAATCATTTTTTCTTTTTTTAAGACAGGTAAATCTTACCATATAGCCCTGGCTGGTTCAAAACTAGTTATGTAGCCCAGGCTGCCCTTCCATTCACAGAGGTTTGCTTATGTCTGCCTCACAAGTACAGGGATTAAAGGCTAGGACCATTGTGCTTAGCTGAGGAGCATGACCCTTAAAGAAACGTCACCAACAGAGAGCCTCTGTGTCTCTGATTCCTTGTGTCTTCATTTCGTATCCTGTGTTACAGATACCTTATATTTTATTGACCAGCAGTATGTTCTGTTGATTGCATTGCACAGAATTGCTCTGCATCGTCACTTGACCTGACAAATACCTTTTATAGGCTTGCTAAGAGATCTGTGCCTTTGAGATACTTGAGAAAGAAACACAATGCCTGCATCTTTCAGCCTTTATACTTGGGATCCTTCTAGATGTATAATTAGTACTACAAACGCTACACAGGATGCCCAGGACACCCAATGAGTTGAACCCACCTGTCCCTTTCCCACTCACCCAGAACAATAGCCCTGGATACTTAATGCCTGCTGGCAAACATCTAATCTTACAGGTGCATGTCCATTTCAGAGCACTTACACAGCTGTTGTGTGATTTTTCTTGCTTTCACCAACAATTATGAGGTGAGTTGGACAGCTGCCCTTAGCTTTACATCACCCTCACCCCCAAGGGGAAAACAATATCTTCTCATCACTTTCCTAGATCGTGACCCATGTTTGGCACTGATAAATCTCTGTATTATCTAACTTCTGGAGCGTCTGTGAGTATTAAAGTGATTAAGTTACACAAAATTACTTTCTAGTCAATGAAACGACACCAGTATAGCTGACGTTGAAACATTTCACCGTTGTGTGTATTAATTTAAAATAGTCTACCCTTAGGAAATCATCATTATTAATTCATGCCTTGGTGGGATCATGTTTTGGATATTTTCAAAGCCAGAAATAACCTAGAATATTTAGTATGGGGGGAATCAAGGAGGTTAGGGAGAAAAAATCCAGGGCACTGGGGAGAGCAGCTGTGGTAGACGTGAAATGAGAGTAGTAGCTTTCAGAGAGAGAAGAAAACACTAAATGATCAAAGGCATTATATGAAATAGGAAGCTTAGGAAATGTAGTATGTTCCCATAGCCTTAAAGACTAGACCTGTCAGTGTAAGTCCGTGGGAGAACGCTAAAGGCTTACGTATAAGTTGTCTATGATTAGTGGTCTAAGGAGTTGACCTGCCCTATTCAAATGGTGCCCCACCCCCACATAAAGGCTCTTCTATGACATCATAGTTTGCTTTATTTTCTTCTCAACAGCTTCTATCTTCATTACTTAAGTGACATGCCCAGAAATGGGGTACAGACTCCCTGGAGCTCCCTACATCCCTCTACTGCTTTCTTGTGAAGTTTTGCCTAGTGCTTAGTAGGTCTTTGAGAGAGATTTCTAGAATGAATGAGGGGAAGGGATGCAGAGCAGCCTGAAGCCACGCCCTGCTTGTATGACACTTCCTTTCCTGGAATATCTTTGAAAACAGGTACAGCCCTCTTTTTGAATGCCTTTAAGATGAGTGCAGAAGAAAGATGAGTTTTTTCGTGGAAGAGTGCCATGTTATTTCACAGATCATTTTAGGCTTCCTAGTTATATGGGTCTTGTCAGGCAAGCAATTTTATAGATTTTTTTTATTCTTATTCCTTGTCAATAAAAATCCACCACGGACTCAGGACAACAATATTTGATTTTAGAAAACGTACTGACAGCAACTTCTTCTGGATCAACTTCTCTCTACTGACTACACGCAGGACCCCAGAAGCACAGAGCTTGGGGCAGGTAGCACCTCCAAGGATTTCTAGAGCAGGACCATAGCAACTGCTCACTCCTACACAAGCGTCCTTACCCTCAGATCCCCACTTGACAGACAAGCTACCTTTGGGGGCTCTCATTGCCAGTTTCAGCTATCCGAAGCCTCAGCAAGAAGAGCATTTTCATGACCGTTTTGTACAACTGTGATTTCTTTGCTGTTTTGTAAATACAACTCAGGAACGGCAGGCCATTATTACTCCTCTGCTGAGCCTGGTTGCAGACCCTATTGGGGATCATTTTTGTTTGGAACTGCACAGGGTTTTGCTATTTGTCCTGACCCATGATGTTATACTATGATAACCTAATAATAGCTTGTAATTTATGAGAGACCATGTCCCAAAGCCGCCCCCAACCAACCCCACCCCCAGATTCCAGAGGAGAGAGAAAAGAAAACAAGGATAATACAGTTTTCTGATAGCAAATAACAGAGCACAAATTAGCCATCCACTTTTTGTGCTTGACATACAGGATTTATATTTGCTGAGCTAAATGAAGGTCATCTGAATATGGCCACTTACCAATTGAAGCATCTTTGGGATTGTGTGCTGGAAAAGGTGTCTACATCATGGAAGGAAGGCACTTTGTGGATTTAACTTTTAGAATGAAGCAGGGTATATAAACAAGTAATATGAAGTTTATGCAGAATGTAAGGTCTGTGTGCTGGGGGAGCAGAGATGGGACCCAGCTGGCATTGCCCATAAATGGCAAGCCCCAATGGCTTCATATTTATACCATGCATTATTCCAAATAGATACCAACATTCTTTTGTACCCACGTGTGAGATTTGCCTTTCAAATTCAGTGAGCATTGTTTTTTGCCCTCTTTTCTAAAAACGCCAATGAGCCTAAATTCACTCTGTTGCTCACAGTGTGTCCACGACATGGTAAAATAGTTACATTACACCTTCTTATAACCTAATGTTTCTTTCTTCTTAGGCATTTGGTAACAGTGTAGAATTCTTTGTATAGGGCAATATGCCAATGGTTCCTGATGGATAAATCCTGGCTTCTGTATTCTCTCCCTAATGGTTGGGATGGATTTGTACTGATAAGAGGACCAAAAGGGTGACACCTTGGGGCCACCAGGAGGAGCGTGAAAAGCTAAAGTAATGGCATGGGGCTCCTTGACACTGTGTTTTGATCAACAGACTGAACTGACCAAAGACATTCACACTTATATAACGTTAAACATGGGGGAGTGACCTGAGATTCCTCAGTGTTGATTTTATGCATCACTGTGTAAGTTTCCCCCCTTGTAAACAATAATGACTGAGTTAATAGTACTCCTGGGGAGAAGGTATTTGGATTGTTCTCAAGACTTCCAATCTACAGATGTACAAAGCAATAAAGATGGAAAAACACCACACTGAGTTGTAAGATGTCAGGCGAGAAGAACTTTTAGACACCTTTAAAAGTTTGCGGTAAATTCTACTCTTCTGTACTATTTGAGGAAAGACAATTACAGTAAGATGGAGAACCCAAGTTTTATATCGACATTTCTTCAGTGCTAACTCGGAAAAGACAGAACAATAGAGTCAGAAACTGTGTGAAGGTTTGCTTGAGGCTGAAGGAAGAAATCAAGATTATGTGTAAATAGTGAGGGACCTTATTGGGATCATTCAATGCCATAAAAACAGGAGTAGGATAAAAGATGGCATAACCCAGTGAACTTACTAAACAGTCACTATGGACATTTCTTCAAATGTGTGAATTTTAGGTTTGTAAGTAATGCCTCAGTAAAGTGCTAAAATTGTAGGATGGGCGGGCCTGAATTTAAAAGAACAGAGAAGTGGTCTTTGAAATTTTTCATTATCTTGTCTTCAAATATAAAGAGAAAGAAAGAGAAACCCAACCAAGGCATCATTCTAAGTCACTTGTCACAGGCCTGCACACTTGTTGAACTTCGGGGAGCTAAGGGGACTGATGTCCTTATTCTATATGACATTTGCCTTTTGTGACTTGTCCCTAGGACAGAAAGAAGTGGGGATTTACATTCACTCAAAACACCCAAGAATCACAACGGGATTTCAAGCATACGAAGACATGCACATATGGATCAGCATGCACACATATACACATAGCATCTCTTTTCTACTGATGCCCTTGCTTTGACTGGCAGAGAGTATAGTATGTTAAGTCTCAGATAAGACAGAATGGAATATTTTTAGCTCCTCTTATCCTGCGATTCTAATGAGGCTGAGTGAAATTGGCTGGCATGCGATTGGGCTCTAACCCAGAGCCTCGGCAAGGCTTCAGGCTGGCATGACACATGCTGAGGATCTCTGCTCCCTGCACTACCTCCTGAGAGATGACGTCATTGCCTTCCTCCTGGTCACCATCCAGCCTTGTGTTCAATACCAGGTGTTTTTACAGGGTTGGGAAAAATTAAGTTCAGTAACTGCTAATGGGACGCTTGAAAGTTTTCTTGAAAGACATATAATGCAGACTCTTCGTCTAAGCAGAAAAAATAAAGGCTGCAAGTAATTTTGAAATGGATCTCCCAGGTGCTTACACATGTTCCGGGATCTCTGTACTTTCTCTTTTGCTGAGTGTTTCACTCTAGAGCCAAAGGCAGCCATGGTATGGGCGACAGAGCAGTTCTTAGGAAATCTGGTGTCCAGCCTTCTTTTGTTTCACTGTCTCTGTCAAGTTTTGCTCTTTTAAGTTTCTTTCAACTCCAGTTACATCACTTAACCGTGGGTGGCTGCTCCTGGCTGCCCAGGGGTTAAGACAGGGTCTCTAGGAAAGCCACCAGAGTGACTAATGCTGCCCTGGGGCAGCTTCTCTGGCATGGTCCCTGGGTGGCCTTGCCTCCAGCCTGACTGTAGGCCTGACAGTCCCTTTTGAGCAGTTCTGACCTTTCTTGGTAGTAAAGACACTGGCTGTCTAATGTTAGAGTATCAGGAGAGTAAACATTCCTGCCACAATGTAGCCTCTCAGAGGAGCCGTGGGCGCTGGGGAATCTAGGCAGCAGGTGGACCGTTTGGAATGACAGGAAATGTTTATCATCTAACTAGGTATGCATACACAATGTAGGGTGGTTCTCCTTGAGTATGCGTGTCTGACTTGAGGTGCCAGTGTTCTGAGGCTGAAGCTTACGAAGATGCAGTACAATTGCAGGACACAAAGACCCTAGGGATTCCCACTCACCCAAAGCCCCAGCATACTGTGTCAGTGGGGACCGGCCTATCATTTATGTAGTTATCTGTGCTTTGATAGGTCTGGGGCTAAATACCCCGGGAGGACTCACCTTTTTAACTAGCAGAATGAATGAGAAGAATAAGAGATCGAACATTTCTTTTTGTGTCTGCTTTGCCTGGTGCCAGGTCCTTTAAAGAGAGGTGATTCTCACAGCAGTTCTGTCAGGCATATTTTCAATGTTTCCCCTGCTGTGTGTGTGTGTGTATATCTTCATAGGGGTTCACATATGTGAACCCACGCATGCATATGAAGGCCTGAGGTTGACATCAGAAGTCTTCCTCAGTACCTCTCTGTCTTATTCATTGAGTCAGGGTCTCTCGCTGGACCCCAAGCTTGCCAATTAGCCTAGTCTAGCTGGCCAGCTTGCTCCGTGGGTCTCCTGTCTCCACATTCTGAACGCTCGAATTGCAGAGATCCTAATCCTCACCCTCATGCTTGCAAGACAAGCACTTTAAATGCTCAACCACGTCCTTATTTCAGAGAGATTATTATTATTATTTTGGTTGTGGTTGTTGTTGTTGTCTAAGCCAGGCCAGGAAAGCAAGGCTTACAGGCATCAAACAATGTGCCTCCACAGTGCTTCATGCACAATAGTAAGTAAGTGTTGGAGGGGGGAGGTGTGGTTTCCACTCGGGGCCACCTGACTGACTCATCAGCTCACATTCTTTTATATCTTCTCGTTATATCCTGATCATTAGACCAGGAGAAGGGTGAGCAATCTTTCAGAAACTTAAGTCTGCGGACCGTCAACCTGTCTGTGAGCTCTGCACCAACAACATCAAGTCTTTTTGAATGCGATGCAAGAGGAAACTGAGCCAATATGACTCCCTGCTCTTCTCTATAGAGCTCAGATGGCCACTGATTTAGAATGGCTGGGTAGGATTTCCCACTGAGAGGTGCTTTGCTTGGGTAGAATGTTGTCCTGGCCCCTTCTGGTCCAACCTCCGTGGTTAAGCAAAGGGCAGACTGAATGAGTTTCTTGACAAATCCTTGGACAGGTGCTCACTCTCAATCTCCTGGAGGTTGACTTTCAAAGCTATCAGTGATCCTTTTCTTGTCTGTTGGGAGAGCATCCTGAATCTCTCTGGGCTCCACCTTCCCATATCTAGACAGCTGTGTGCTACTGGCAGCCTGACCTAGCCTTGCAATGATTAGAAACAAGGGTTCACATGCATTAGCTGTATGTGTCTGTGCTGATGAGGAATGTCTTGGCATTTTGTTTATCACTAGCTATTTCAGAGCTGAATAATGATAAGAGTTTCCAGTAGACCAAGCTTTAAAATGTTGACTTTTAAAATAGTGAGTATAGGATTATAAAGAGAAGTCTTTACTAATTTTTGAAATTGTTTGAGACATAAAACCTACTTTCTGATTTTTATTCCAAAGGGAATAACAGCCTGGGATCAAGAGCTTGCATATAACCCCAGGATGGCATGTTTTAAAAGTAGAAAATGTCAAAACTGAGGCACAGAGAAATGAATAATTCCAGGAAAATTGTAAGTCATATGGGAAAGAGTGTGTATACTTTAAATATCTGTTCAAAATGGCATTGCAGGACGGCTAAGAACTGAATTATCAGTTCCACAAATTCCATCCGTCTGAACTTTAAGTGTGGACAAATACTTTATTCTCTTAACTTGGTGAAACATGAATGCCTTGGTGTTCACTCTCTTGGGGATTTGTCTTTAGGAAGTGCCACCACCGTCTGCAACTGTAGATGTGGAACCTCAGACATTTCCACGGTGACATTGAGATGTGCATCTCCTTGAGGTAGTAATATGACTTCGGCTACATACAAGATATTTTAAGGCCCACCAAGAAATAAAGCAACAGGATATGGAAAATACTTCTTACTTAAACATATATAGAATATGTTAGTTCTGAGAGCCATTAGACGCTAGGAAATAAAAAACTGAAACATAGACCATTAGTGAGTAATTTTTGTTGTACAGAGATCACAAAAATAGTATGTTTTTAAGCACAGGGGAAAACAAATTGAACAAGATCACTTTTAGGAGGAGGAGCAAGGGGTAAAATATATAAACCGAGGTTGCAGGGGAGCAGCACCGTATCACGTAAAAATGAAATCATAGGCACTGTGAATAGAGTACACACATCTCACACCCACGTGGAGCTTTATGGACACCTGCAAAATTTGCTCTCTTGCTCATAACTTTTTCCATTTATCATCATTTTCTGATGACCTCCAATCCTTTTAACATTGTTCAGAAGTGATCTTGGCATTAGTTCTGAGATAATTCCTGCATCATATGTCAGTGTTCAGAACATACTATTTAATCCTCTAATCAATTATATTTGAACTGCCACGTAGTATTACTGCCAATTTTTCAGGTATGAGAACTAAGGCTTGGAGAGTCCAGACACCTCTTAGGTCCTGTGAATAACAGGACAGAGACCTGAACTGAACTCCTGGTGCACATCGGCACTGCAGGAAGATAACGTGGTGGATAGTCAATAGAATCAGCTTCATCCCAAATTCTTCCGTGGTATTTTAGAATCTGAGGGTGCTATCATTCAAAAATGATACAAAGCTCCCCCTCCAAATAAGAGCTTTTGTTTGTGAATTTTTCTATATACAAACTGAAAAAAAAAAGTTCAAAGCCATCTAGAATTGTGTTTCCTTTCATGTCTTAAAACCTCCAGAGGGAAATAATTCCTACATGACATATTTCAAAGGATAAAGGGATAGTCAGAACACTAAAGGAAATAGAAAATCTTACAGTGCCAGAGGCTAAAAGACAGCCTAGAATACCCATGCTTTGGAAATGCTCTGGTCTCTAGTGAGGAGCTGGCAGCGGGAAGCTTGAGGGGACAGTGGGCAAGCATCAGGTACAGACCGGCTGATACACTGCAGAAAGACCTAGGCCAGGCTTTGGGGGTGGGAGGCAAAATACTCGCAACTGCTCAATCCCTAAGAGGTTTCCTTGTAACACCAGAAGAATGTTTTCTTCTATCTGAATCCAATGTAAACAAGAGGGAAAGGAAAGCCTGTATCTAGAATCCAGGCTATGAAGCAGACTCTTGGCCCCACAGACAGGATTTATCCTAGTAAATTTCTGTGAGTGAAATGTCCAATCAGAGGAGGCCTCTCAGTTTCAACAGGCTGAGAGCCAAGCATTTTTGCTCTTGTGCCCTTGTTGAATCCTGAGTTTCCTTTTCTTTAGAAACTGAGGGACATGATCTAGTTTTGGACTAGGGGGACAACAGAGTATACCTAAACATTTAAAAGCAGTGGTCTGAGTTCTGGGTCTTAGGGGCAGGAATCATAGGAGAGAAAAGAAGAAGCAGAGGCAAAAATTTGTCTTGTTGCTCAACACAGTTCCCAGTACACACAAAAGTATGAATGAGAAAGAGACGTTTCTCCCCTGAGGTCCTCTGCACCTTTTGGCTTTGCCCTTTGCCCTCTTTACAGCAATGGCTTTCTCAGATGTGCTCTGTCCCTCGTGGACCAGCCACACTCTGAAATATTCTGTATTTATCTTCCTCCATAATCAGAGATGCTTAGCAGTCTCTAGAGAGCTTTAGGAAGAGTCTGACTGAGTCAATTAATGCTAATGAGCAAATGACTGGTTTGCCCATTCTCGTGTGTGTGTGTGTGTGTGTGTGTGTGTGTGTGTGTGTGTGTGTGTGTGTTAGACAATAATAATGTTCAAGAACAAAACCAAGAGGCCAGTGAGATGCATTAGTAGGTAAATGTGTAAATGAAGCCGCCGAGACTGATGACTTAAGATTGAGAAAGGAGAAAACAGACTTCCACTATTTGTCTACAGAGAGGGGGGCGGGGAGAGGAGAGATTAAATAAAAATGTAATAAACAAAAAAGAACCTCAACCCTCATGAAGTAATGAAGCTGTACAGAAAAGAAACTGATGATACAAAACCAATTGAGTGGTCTGCTTGACACTTGGAGGTTACCCATTAAGGTTAAACACAATTGTCGAGGAGCAAACAGTTCTGTGCACATGAAGGGGAAGAGTGTTTCAGGGCCAGTGAAACCCTGAGATAGCAACTAATTCAGTGGTGGAGAGCTGAAACAGAGTAGCAAGCCCAAAGCGCAGTGGGCAGAGGGAACAGAGGGGCATGTCATGGGATGGCTAGATGATGTCAGTCTTCAAGGGAGACTGACGCCTCTGAGCTTGACCCTAAGTGAGACCATAAGCAGTACTTTGGTCTGCTTTACTTCTTCAAAAGACGCCCCGTAGAAGCAGAGAGACAGGTAGGAGGCTGCTTGCAGGGTCTGAATAAGCAACAGTTCTGAGACGGAAGTGGGGGGGGCAGTTATGTGGACCCATTAATTACACGTCAGATGGAAGGCATGCTGGAGTTGAAGATGAAGGAAAAATAAGAATCAAGGCCTCCTGGGCGGATGATGATATTGGTTTTTCTGAAAAGGTCAAACCTGGAGAGAACATGTTTGATGGAAGAACTGAAGTCACTGGGCTGCTGAAATTGTCACCTCTGTTTGGATATGACAGTGAGCTGCAAATCACACATCACATTCCGGACACAGAGGCAGGGAAGGTCAATGCTATGTGACTCAGCTCAGGGGTAAGCAGGGGCCGATGCTGTGCATCCGGTAAGCACTGGTATACAGATGGTGTGCGTGTCATGAAGACTGTTCCCATGGAATTGTGGGGAGAGAAGGGACAGGGCTGGGGACCAAGCTGTGGCTCACTCCATCAGTCCAAGGTTAGAAGACACTGTCTGGAAGCCTCTTCCTGCACCTAGAAAGGTGACCGAGGAAAGGGGCCTTGCTCCACTGACAGGTGTGGCTTTCAAGCACTAGGAAGAACGAGGACCCTTATGAGTAGCCCCCTCTCCCCCGGCCCAGCACATGAATGAGCTCTTGGCACGTGCTGGTCTGATGAGAGAAAAGTTCTGTCACCCTCAAAGCCACACACTTTCCCCCATAGATTAGGAATAATATGGTAAGAGGTATTTTTAATGAGACATGTGGGCATTCAATCCCGCCCTGAGGCTGGAAGAATAGCATGGGGAAGTTGTCAGTGGCTGTCTGGTCCTCACAGAGTCTACATAGCAGAGTCGTCAGCAGAAAGAGAAAGCAGTTCATCAGACCATAGGCAGTAGCCCTTCTGCTTTAGAAATGTCAAGACATCAGCTGGGTCCTATGGCCGGTGCTGACTAAGAGCAGGCTCAAGTGAAGAGCATTCATTTCCCTTTTTGTCTTCATTTTGTACACTTAGGAAAATCAAGTGTTGTGTCCCAGAAACAACAGCATTATTTCCCTTTTCTTTTTAGGTGTCTGGGATACAATAAAACAGATGTCAGGATCGGTAGGATGAATAAAGCCACATGGTATATTCATTTAGCATCTTTAATTTGCATAGCTTTTTGAGGTGTGGGGATTCAACATGTGCGCGCGCACACACACACACACACAGACATGCATATACACACACACACATATATACATGTATGTGTACAGACACACATATACATTCTGACATTTCCTATAAATAGCTTACTTAGGGAGCATGATGTCCAGTTAATATTGTAATAAATCACAGAGGACTTCCCCACAGTGCATTAAAGAAGGTTGTAGTCCCTTGGGAAGCATTTCTGGCAGAGCAGAAAAGCCATTGAAACAACCAGTGGTTTTGTTGTATTCTCCTAATAAGAAGTCAATTGTTATGCTCCATTTTTTTTTTTTTTGGTATATAGTATGGTTGAGGTTTATCAAAGCCACAGGTAAGCTATTGGTGCTATGGTCCCCTCTCTCTTTTGACTGCTGGCTGGTCGCAGAACTTGGGAGTTAGTCTGTCATATGACTGAGCCCACAATCAAGGGGCCGTCGCAAGCTCCATGTCTTATCCCAACAGGATGGGGGAATTTGAGAAGGGGCAAGTCCTGGCCTATGAGAAGAGAAGACTGGAATTTCTCATGGTCAGGAGACTCAAACAACCACCACATTATCCTATTACTCTTGCCACAGAGCAGAGCATCACTCACGCCCCATTAGAGAAGCTCCTTGCCGTGGATGGCAATTAACAAAGAGATTCGCAACTGGACAGTGTGAAGTGAGTGGGTGAGAGATTTTGGAGCACTCAACAGCACTAAGTGGGCATATTGATCAAATCCTTCCTTTCAAGGCTTAGGGACCTATGTAGACGAGGAAGTGGAAAGATTGTCAGAGCCACAGGTGGCGAATGACTCCAAGGAAACAGGATCTTCCAGACAGAAGAGTACTGATACAGATGTGAACTCACAGAGACTGCGGCAGCACACACAAGACCTGCACAGGTTCGAACCTGCACAAGGACACAATTCCAGCACTGAAAAGGGAAGGGGACACAAAGTTACACCCGTAACCAAGGAGCTATTTGGAATTGATACCTGCTGGGAAAGGGAAAATCAGTTTTTCCAATGGAGTGTCACTGGGTATATCATCCATACTCCAGGGCACACCCCATGCTCAGGAGTAGCTTGCCAATGCAGCATGAACTCAATGGTGTTATTGTATGTGTGCTTTTCTGTTTGGGGGCGTCGCATAAATCATCCTTTACCTGGCACTGAGGTTCCAAGAGCGACAAACACCACCGCAGTAACGGAATCTTTCAGACCAATGGTGCAGCCAAAGTGGGAAGCCAGATCTCCAATGAAGGCTGTCAGGAGGCCAATCATGAGGATGGAGACGATGAAACAGGCCCAGCCATTCCAGTATTCTGTCGGGGGGACGAAGGCAAACAGAACCTTCCAGAACACCGTGAGAAAGTGCATCACGTAATCAAAACAGGAGGGCAGCTTCTCCTCCCCGCAATCATCGTCATCATCATCTTCCCCTAGAAAAGAAAACAAAGCACATTTCATTAAGACCCAGCTACTGGGGACTTCTTCTATTCCCTGCATCTCCCTCTAGACTGTTGTCATGCTCCTCTGAGGGACAGGAGGCCATCAGAGGTCAATGAAGCTTAGGGCTTTCTAAAAGTCAACCACCATGAACCAATCATTGGTCATGGTACTCAGGAACCACTTCACTGAGGCTCAGTGGTCAGGGGCAAAAGCTCACATGCAATCAATACACCCTTCCTACATGCTGCTCACGTTACCTCCCAGTGGGATTTGTCATCAGAGTTAATGAAGAAGATTCCTTGTCAAGAGTTGGAAAGCCAAGAGAAAAGCCCCTCTGGAAGCTCGGACAACATTCTGCTAGAATTCTTCTCTTTCAGCTTAAAGTCTACTTGGAGATTGATAGTTGTATGATGTCTACAGTGTGGTATTTAGTCAGGGCCCCTAAGCACAGCAATGGGCCTTTTATGCCACTCTAGATTCATCTCCTTCAACTATTTCAAACTTTGTCTTAGCCTAATAGTATTATCTACATTTTTAAACCATCATCACTTTCTCTGCCTTTAGAGCTAAAAGTGTGCCTCATACTGTAACTAGAGTTTTCCTGCCTTGCCCACAGTCAGGACAAATCTCTGTCACCCGCCAGTCACACAGCCGCTCAGACCCAACCAAGTAAACACAGAGACTTATATTGCTTACAAACTGTATCGCTGTGGCAGGCTTCTTGCTAACTGTTCTTATAGCTTAAATTAATCCATTTCTATAAATCTATACCTTGCCACGTGGCTTGTGGCTTACCAGCATCTTCACATGCTGCTTGTCATGGTGGCAGCTGGCAGTGACTCCTTCCGCCTTCCTGTTCTCTCAATTCTCCTCTCTGTTAGTCCTGTCTATACTTCCTGCCTGGCCACTGGCCAATCAGTGTTTTATTTATTGACCAATCAGAGTCATTTGACATACAGACCATCCCACAGCACCACCATATTCTTCTCTCCCCATTGTTCTCCTCCACTTATCCGTTAAAATGCCTCCTACCCTTCTTCAGAGCCACCGTGGCTCCAGATACTTATAACTTTGGGTGAATGGTTCTCAGTGTGCTCCCTGAGCAACAGCACTGTGGAACGTATTAGAAATGCAAATTCTCAGTCTCACTGAATGTGACAAGAAATTTGGGCTTGAATAAACCCTCCTTGTGATTTGATGGCATGTTCAACTTTGAAAGCTGCTGCTTTATCTAAAATTAGGCCTGTTTAATATCTTCTCCTCTCCAGTTGACTGTGAGCCCTTTATGCATCTAGTATTTGGTACCATCTCCATCACTTAGGTGACCAAGCACTTGTCAACTAAAGGAATGCATGCATGAATTTTTACTGATTTTACATCACTATGTCATTACATTATATGTAGGTAGATCACAAGTTAAATCACACTTGAACATACATAGAAAGGCAGGTGGATTGCTAGTTAAAAAGACCAGGAAGTTAATAACAATGACCCAAGACTTATTTCATTAATAGATGATGTAAAAGATTATAGTGTAAATGTAATTTTATATTAAGGAAAAAGTAACCTCCATTCATGTGCTTTCACATTATGATAGTCAATGTCACTTTTCTCAAAGTGACAGAAAATACATGTTTGTGTGTTTTGTGACTATTTTTAAAAGGAATGTCTCCTTGAACATTTTGTTGACTTCCTCCAACACCACCCGGAATTTACTTTACTTTGTTCCAACTAATGTGGCTGGCAGCAGGTGGGGCTGGCAGCTCTCTTCCTGACTGTGTGATATGAGAATGCCAGTACCAAGCAAATACCTGTGCTCTTTGTGGCACAATCCAGGGTGAAGCCATCTGGGGCACAAAGAAGTGTGGAAAACCCCACACTTAAACACACTCCGGCTTGGAGCAGAGAGTGGGTGTCATGCCTGGGTTTGCTCCTGGCCATGCAAAAACAGAGAGGAGGTGATGGACTGCTCTTCTGTGAGCACATAGTGACAATTATAACATAAATAGTTTGATTGTAGAAAATGTAGCCTTGTCTTTGAGGTTTTGGGAGGCAGCCAATAAGCTGTTAGGAGAATGCTCCCCTGGATATATGGAATCACCTTTGGGGACTGCTTAGGTGAAGAACTTGAGTCAAGTGAATTGACAGAAAATTTTGTGAGTGGAAAAACATTGTTGACCTCCCAGGTTCTTGCTGTAGGAGTGAGAACATGCCTTGTCCAAAAGCACAAACGCTTTTTGAATAAAAGTGTCTGATATGGGCTACATGATACTCCTCCCTCCAAATCAGTGCTTTGAAGCCCCAAGCCCCGGCCCCTAGAATACAATCTTATTTAGAGACAATGCCTTTGAACAATAATGTGAGACGATGCATCCAAAAGACATTGTCTCTGGGCATGGTGGCGCAGTCCTATTGTCCAGCATTTGAGAGCCAGAGGCAGGCACTAACTAGAGTTTGAGGCCAGCTTGGCTATATAGTGAGACCTTCTTGCAAGTATATATGTGCAAGCCAAGGATTTGCCCGGAAGAACCAAACCTACTCATACCTTGATGCACAGGAGATAAATTTCTTCTGTTTAAGCATCAATTTGTGGCAGTTTATTATGGCAGCTGTGGTCAACCAGCGGCAGTTCTTTGGAATCCTCATGTGTTACTACTTAAGTCTGAGGTACATGTATCAGCATACCACACTGTAGCCACAACTATGCACAATTACTACGTGTCACTTAAAAACAAAGTAAACGTGGCCTACACATTTAGGAGATTTCCCTGCTTCCTGTTTCTTCTCTGGCCCTTCTCTCCTGGACATCCTTACTTTTCTTTTACCCTGCATTTCCGCTCCAGATAAAACTGTGAAAGCATCAGTTTTCATAGTTCATTTTAAGGTGGGAGGGAGACAAGAACCATGTTAGTTTTCTGCCTGACTTGTGTCTAGCTCCTGTCCTCCCTCCCTCCCTCCCTCCCTCTCTCCCTCCCTCCCGTCTTTCTTTCCTTCCTTCCTTCCTTCCTTCCTTCCTTCCTTCCTTCCTTCCTTCCTTCCTTCCTTCTTTCTTTCAGGGGTTAGTTTCTTTTTTATTAAGAACATTTTTTCATTCATTTTACACACAAATCAAAGATCCCCCTCTTCCCTCCTCTCACCCCCCCAGCCTCCTTTCCAACTCCCGCCCCCCCACAAGAAGGCAAGGCATCCAATGGGGAGGCACATCCAATAGAGGCAAGTCCAAGCCCTTCCCCCTGCCTCAAGGCTGCACGAGGTGTCCCCTCCTAGGCAGTGGGCTCCAAAAAGCCCCTTCATGCACCAGGGATGGATTCTGACTGTAAGCATGTCCACCCGTACACTCTGCTAATGCACTGCAGTTTCCGGCTATAATTATTTTGTATCAGATCGTTTTCTTAACTTCCATATCTTTGGGCACTTTATAACTTCTCAGGATATATGATGAAAATATTTGGTAAACACTGAATTTATATCAATCATCCACAGAAGCAAAGAACACTCCGCCTCTGCAAAATTATTTATTTTGAGAATGATCAAATTTCAAAGTTTAGAGATGAACCAGAAAGCAGAGAATGAAACTTCTCAAAGAAATGACACATATAAATCAGGAGTAGATATTACATTTATTTTAAAGGTGGAAATAATAACACCTTTCCCAGGAGGGCTGTGCATGGGAATAATTAGATGATTTGTATCAAGTATCTGAAGATGCTTCAAGCTAATGATTATCATGTTGCTTATCATTATATCCTTCTACTTAGGTATACAGATGTGTTTTCCCATCACTATTTCATTGCTTAGTTAATACGCTGTTTCCTAATGTTATATTCTACAAGTTTTAAAACAAAATAACATAAAGCACAGAGTGTTGTGGCCGGGAAGCAGAGGCAGCGAGTTTGAGGCTTAGCTGGAGCTATATAGGAAGACCCTGTCTCAAAAACTAAATCCAAACGTGTGTGTGTGTGTGTGTGTGTGTGTGTGTGTGTGTGTGTGAGAGAGAGAGAGAGAGAGAGAGAGAGAGAGAGAGAGACAGAGACAGAGACAGAGACAGAGA